TATATGGTCAATTGTGTTTAAATTATTAACTAAATCAGAAGACGATTCGTAAGATGATAGTTTAGTGGGCTCTCGAAATTGGCCTGGACAACGAATCCCGAGTTCGAATCCTTGCAGTGGCAAATATTTTGCACGATGCCCCAAATACTTATTTTCGAGTCCCATGCTAGGTCAGAGTAACGTTAACCGTTAATAAACTTATATGCCAAAAAATAAGGCAGATCAACTGTTAACAAGAAGGACTCAGCCTTTCTAGTAGTTCTAACTGTATCGGTCGGCGGTGGAATTGACTTCCCGGGCGCATAAGCAGTAGAAACGCAGAAGGATATAATCCGAAATTCTGCAAGAGTTAGCTGAGTCCTGTTGGTGACTTCCGAGAAGGACGATATTGATCAGTCGAAGTGAATTCTTAGTCGTGGCAGGCTGTAGAATCGTCTAGTAGCCCTGACCTCGAAGAAAACCCAATCTGTCAGGTAGCGCTCCAACGTGAGAGCGTACGCAATTATTGGTCGCGTCTTAAGAATATAGGTAAATGCACCTAAAGCCATCTGCGTAAATGAGATTTTGTGAACTTTTTAGCACTGTTGAAATTTCATTTATTTATAGACTGAAGGTTAGAGGACCCGGGGTCCTGCCTTGAAAAACGCCAAACGTGATCAGTTGAGGCGTTGAGTGGATATTACCTACTAAGACCTTCTGGTTACGGTTACACAAGTAGGAACCAATAAAGTCGAGGAGAAGAGGCCGGATGCCGAGGGTTTCCTGTTTCACCAGAAGACGTCCGTGCGGTATCTTGTCGAAAGCTTTTCTAAGGTCAAAGTAGATCACAACCACTGATTACTGCTCATTACGAAGGGAAGTGACGAGGTTAAGAAAAGCTAAGTGACACGTTGCACATGATCTTCCAGGTAAACGACTGGGCTGCGAGTCGCTTAAAAGATTGCTTTCCAAGCAAAAATCGAGAACTCGATCAACAATTATTTTTTCCAGAAGTTCAGCTAGAGCAGGAATTTAATGAACGCCTCGATAATAATTTACATCCGAACAAGATCCCGACTTGAGAAATATTATATTTATTCCCTGAGAAAGCAAATAATCCCTTTGAGAGATAGGCCGAGAAAAATGGCTATGCAATCGGAGGAAGCTCAATACTCCATTAATAACTGAGTTTGGCATACCATCAGTTCCTGAAGATTGTGAATTATTTAGGTGACTTATATGCTTACGAATCAATTTTATGGAGAAATCAATGATACAGATAATATTGGCGGAGTAGGGTTGAAACGATGGAACCGGTTCAGATTCCGTTTTACGATGTTTTGCAAAGAATGCACTTAACAACTCGGTTTTGTCAGTGTCTTCGAGTGTTGTTCGCAAGCGGGCCCGTGACCAAGCTTAGGCCAAGTCTTAGAGCTTTCGTGGTTCTGGAGGTGCGCCTGAGCTGGCACTTAAGTGCAAATAAATTCGTCACGTTTTCTTGTCTGAACTGTTTGTTTTAACATTACGCAAACACGCCGGCATGCCAACCGCGGCACCGCGTGCTAACTTGACATTAAGACTGACAACGTTTTTCAAATTTTAATATTATCGACCTATGGGACTTTCTGAGTGCTCATGGTACTATCTCATCAACTACCGACCGGTCAGTTTGACATTCATTTGTTGTAAGCTGATGGAAAAGATAATTAAAAGATCGATTATATTGCTCGATACATTTTGTCGCCAAATCAACCAATTTCCGCATGATTTCTGTGAGAAGAGGTCTTGTTTTACAAACCTTATAACAACGCTCGAACACTGGACAAATGCCATGGATAAAGGACATCAAGCATATGTTATTTAGCCAAGTCAAATCAAATTTATTGAGGGCAATATAAGCAAACGCCTTTAAACTCACTATCGGTTCGACCGACAAAAATGTTCTGATCTAGTTCAGAAGTTTCTCCCTGATGCCACGGACGTTCAGTTTATGTTAAAGGCATTGACGGATCACGCTGTTTTGCGGAAATCGATGTGCACTACGTGTGTGGGAGCCTACCTCGCTGACTCACCCTGGCTTCGTTGCCAAAAGCTGCGCAAGTACAGTCTCTACGCGCGCCGGCTC